TTCGAGCGATCGGTAGTCATCTCTGTGTGTCCCGCCTGCTACGCGGCAAAGTCGGCTTAGGCGACCGAAACTGCACAGTGCATGTACGCACGTGATGGCAGCTCAGCTGAAGACGAGGTTAGACATTACAACTCTTGTCAATTTTATTGAATGCTATTGAATCGAGTAAAGTGCGACGATCTTGCGAGAGCCGTCATCTAAATATTTTACTTTTCCGGGTGACGTTAAAAGTTGGCCGGGAATCAAGGGAATGGACCTATATAAGATCCTCCATGTGCGATTTAGGTGGGAACTGGCATTGACCGGTGAGGAATTCACGGCCATTAAATGTGGTCAAGTGCCACAATATCCACATCCGACATAGACACGCCTAGCTCCAGAATATTGGGGCATATTACCTGCAGACAAGCCCTCAGGAAATTGACCTCGGTGAGCAGCGCATACAAACATTCGGAGTGTTCAGTATACACTACAGGTGGCTAGGTGGAGACATAATATTTGTCTACCAGATACAGAACGACCCCAAGTACACATGTTGCCACCTAACGGAACTCATCCTATAATCTTCTAACTTGTGCCGAGCGGTCGCAAAAGCTGTCCTCCTGCGTTATTCGCCTAAAAATCTTTGGCTTTATTCTCACAGAGACCTACGTGCCATCAAACGATTTGGCTTCGCGAGCTCCTCTTACCACTGTTCATCTATTGAATCTCTTATTCACGGATTACCAGCAAACTGTGCTCCTGCAACTTGGAAGTCAACCCTATTAAACCCTTTAGGATGTTTTATTTTTCCTCTCGTCCCATAAGAACTCTTGTGGGCTTATTTTAAACAACTTTTCGAGGGTCACCAGATCAGCTTACTACCGTTCCTTCACGTCATTTTACAAAGCGATGGTCGTCAATATGATCCGTCCTTGGAACTGCCACGGTCGTCATTAGACAGGATTTTCCAAGTCAACGTGCTTTGCCTCAGTCCTACGTCGCATCGCTGCCTACCCTATACCGTCTGGATAGATTGCACGCACGTCGCCTATCTACCCTAGAGAACGTGTGACTTATCTGGACGCTACACTCCTGGACCCGCTGACCTCAAACCAGCGCCGATCGCCACGCAACGGTTCGTCTGTATCTTTAGCCGCTTTCTACCCGTAAAACAGTACGCCTACTGGGAACATCTCTCGTATGAAGAGCAAATGCGAATCGTGTGTTAACGTGGTAAAAGGTGGTCTGGTGTGTACCATGGGTGTGAAATCCTATCACATTACCTGCCCCGGGAAGGGGTCAAAGAAAGCGAACACCGCAGAGGCATTTTGGTTCTGCCAAGTATACAAGTCTATTCCATTTGTTTGCTGTCACTTTGTGCTACGGAAGAGATGTGAAAGACTCACCTGAAGCGGTCGAGCAACTGGTGAGCGCCACAGTTCTACCCATCGGAGGAAACAAGCCTGCACTTGTGAGTGAAAATAACATCCCGAATTCCCCAGTTAGGCCGAAGAAACAAGCCAGTGTTCCAGCCTAACCCAACGACTCAGCCTCCAGCAGTATCAACTCCATTCTCCTTCCCTCCTATACTTAAAATCAGTGCCTGAAGCCCGTCTGCCTCAACTTCTGTACTGTTGCTGCATCTGTTAGTCTGTTCGCTACACTAGAGGATTTAAGCAACAGTCAACCAGCGATAGTGATAGAAGAATCTCGCGCCACCCAAACGCGTTGCACTACGACGAACCCAGATTACTTCGGGTAAAACTAAACTCGACGGATGAGACTGAGGCCGTTCTGCTGTCCGCGAATCGTCTTCGCAACGACTCAAGTGGAGTGCGTATACTAACCAAACTCCCGTGGAAAGAACATTCAGGGAATCCCGGGAAAAAGTAGGCACAGGAAAGGTCAAGAAGAGAGTGATTGCGCACGGTGTTCCTGAGCTTACTGATTTCTCTTTCGACGATGCTCAAATGCACGACCGCGATCAATGGCACTACATTCGGAAGGCTCTTTTTCTCGAATATGTCGTGGTCACCTTGTTGACAAGGATTTCCATATCACCAAACTATAATGGGTGCGGTCCCAGTCTGTTAACGCTTGTGTTACAATCAGAAATAATGGCACAAAACCTACTAGAGAAGTGGATTAAATTCCGCCGCAGATTGCCAACAAAAATTCGTCTGAAAGCAACAGGAACATTAGAACCTTCTAATGACAATTCTGTAGAGGCACAACTCTTGATGAAAACGCCATTTGCTGGACCCGACTTGGGGACGGTTTCAAGAGTAGCCTTCCTATCCGGAGGGGCACAGCAGAGCACGAGCAAACACCGGGATTCGAGGCATCTGATACCATTTTATATATCAAAAGCTTCCCAAAATTATGCAACCCATAAAAAAAGTTTTGTCGCCTACCCTTTAGTGTCGGCGCAAACTCATTTGCTTCATCCATCCAAACTAATACACTCTTGGCCTCCGAAATGCTCTCATGCATGTACACAAATGCGCAAACTGTACTCAGTAAATTAGCTGAATTAGGACTACGACTCGCGTGTGCAGCTTAGGACCTCATCGCTGGCACCGAAAAGTGGTTGCGCTGTGAGATAACGGATGCTGAAATTGCGCCAACGAGCATACCCGTTGTCCGGAAGGATAGAACCACCAAAGGTATTGGGATAGCCCTTTATTTTCACAACAGCCTGCAATGCGAACCCATAGGCGATTCGGAAACCGACGCACCTAACGCCATTTGATGTTATTTCTGGCCAAGCGGGAAGGATCTTGGCCTATAGGTTGTTGTTTACAGCCCACCTTCGTCTACTCCTGAGATGGACTGCAATTTGATTACTGAGTTGAGGCAAGTGCTAAACAGTAAGTATAGTTACATTCTAGTCACCGGTGACTTCAACTTACATGCCCTCGAATCCCAGGCCACACCAGGACTGCAATCCAAAGCAGACTTGTAAGAGCTGTTTTCAGACTTCCCGCTTTATGGCAACGTCACTACGCCCGCCAAATTCAGGAGAACTGTCAGCCATCCATAATGTACCGAGAATTCACCAATGAAGAAGTAATGGTTAAGAGAATGATAACCGATACTCCTTTGGGCCGCATTGATCATGCGACGCTATTGTTTCATTACACATGTTACGCGGATTATCCTAAAGAGCATGCCGAGTAATATCAAGTCGTAACCAACTATGAAGAACTGTCCGACCTCACTGATGCATCCAGCTGGTCGTTCTTAGCTAAATTAATCCCTGCGGTGGCCTGTGGTGAATTCGTCAACATATTTATAAGCTCGTGGCAAGGACATCTAAAACCAAACGTTACCGGCCTAAAATGATGAAGTCGCTCTTAAGGAGCAGCACACGTAAATGTATGGCAGTAAGGGAGTTAGCATGGCACACATACATAGCCACTCCGAACGACCATACCTGAGAGGTCTACACAATGCACAAGAACCACTGTGTCAAACTCACCCAGGAGAATAAACTTAAGAACCAACACGGTCCAGTGCATACGTTTTGCTCCAATCCCAAACTGCTATACAGATCCGTAAACAATTAGCGCCGTGTAAAGTGCGGTATTCCTGATCTGCACACAGCATGCGGCTTAGCTCAAACCGCAAAAGAGGCGGCCAACATCCTTGGAAAACCATTTGGCTTTATTTTTTAAAGCGCGCCAGCAGCATACAATCTGCTTCAGCAGATAACTCCGCCATCAGAGCTAAATCACATACCGTTCACCTCCGCAGCTATACTAAAGAGGCTGATGTCTCTGCGCTGGTTTAGCTCCCCGGGTGCGGACGGCATTCGCCCGAAGGCGTTGAAAGTTGCTGTCATGAGTTTGGCAGGACAACTAGCAAATTTCTTTCAACAATGTCGGAACGAGTTGCACGTCCACACGAGGTGGAAGCACGGAATCATCACGCCTATATACAAAAGTGGTAACAGTGCTGGACCAACAAATAATCGCCCGATAACTCTTTTTCCCGTGGTCTCCAAGATTATGGAGTCCATTATAGCTGAGGCATTGATGTATTACCAAGAGAAAAACAAAATTTTCGTTCGGGATCAGCAGAGATTTTTAAAAACCGCTTTTGTACAGCTAATCTATTGATGGAGTCAACGTGGCCTACTTGGATTTCTCAAAGGCATTTGACCATTTAGACCATCGCATTTTTTTCACAAACTCCAGAAATGTGGAATCGGCGATCCTGTTCGGGCTGGATAAGAGTTTCTAGTGCAACGTCACCTGAATGTGAGGGTTCGAAGCACTCTATCAGAATCCATCAAAGTTCAGTATGGCGTAGCTTAGGGTTCGATACTTGGACCCCGCCTGTTCCTGGTCTTCATAAATGATCTCGCGAGTTGCTATCTTCGAACTGTTTGCTTGTATTCAATGGTTACTATACCTCATGCCTAGGACCCTAATATACGGTTTTAAATAGTGTACATTGTACCGGTATCATATGTATGCGATGAAATGGAATACAATATATATATATATATGCGCTACTGGATATAGATTAGAGATAAACATTCGTTTTCATATATATTTATTTTACACCGCCACATATAGCATAGGATAGTTTATTAAAGCTAGGGGGAATGGATCATATATATCTCCATATAGCATATCCATAGATATATATGTGGTGCAACTGGAGGCTGGGTGGTGGCCATGTAGCGACCCGAGCAGCTTGGTCTACCCACTGCTGCTAATGTCGCGCCATTAGACTATATAGTCTGCATAGTCATGGGCGCCTCCACTGGCGGAACCGCTGGCGTGGGGGTTGGGTGTTACCCTTCTCCCTGCTAAGAGAATGATCCAGGATACCCAATCTCCGCTGGCGTAGGATCGGGCTCTAAAGATGACCACTTTTCGCTAGAATGACCCACGCTCTGTGATTGCCTTTTCGGAGTGGCCGCGTGTGGCTGTTTTTTACCCCCCCCCCACACACCACACCCCCCCCACCACACTACCCCCCCCCCCCCCTACATGTTTAAATTCCGCTCAGCGCTTCCTCCACCCCCCCCCCTCCCCCCCCCCCCCCCCCACCCCCCCCCCCCCCCCCCACCCCCCCCCCCCCCCCCCCCCCCCCCCCCCCCCCCCCCCCATACAACTCTGGTGCTGAGACCCATCATCTGCATCTACTCCATGCTCTAGAGCGTGTTGGCCCGGCCCTAGCGCGCCGAGTATGTTAATATTATTAGTCACCGTGTTCCTTTTCTGCTCGAGGTTAGGACGTGCGTCGAGATGAGAGACATACTCCTCCCCTGCTATCGTTTTATTTAAAAAAAACTAGCCAGGTGATGAACCCAAGGTTTACGGAGTTCAATAAGGCCCACCAGCTTTCGATTGGCGTAAATCGAGAGAAACGCAGTGTGCTCACACGATTGTCTCTGACCATGCTCAGGGCGTGGACGGTGTACGCCATCTAGGGTTCAGTGTTGGTTCAATGGTTTGCTACTGCCGCCTCGCCTCAAGCCCAAAGAACCAGCCTTGGTTTGTGCCCGCATTTTTCTTCTTTTCGTTGTATTGGTCAAACTAGTGCGAACCCGCCAAAACCCACCTGCGTCTGGCCGTGGTCGCAGGTGCGTATCCTACTACGGTCGCAAAACATGTAATAATTGTTCCAGAACCTCAAAGGCTGCGTGTGACGGCCGTCAAGCAGATCCCAATCTGTCTCTACAATCACATTCCCGAGCTGGATCTGCTCTCCACTGCCTTGTGGGTCAGGCTATTGAGCCAAAGGCTCCGGGGGAGACCTTCAAGCAAACCTCCGAAGCACAACGCCCACCTCGCTTGCGATCGCCCACCAATGCAATCGTATGCCTGCGCGTAAAGCACTCGGCATCGGATGCTGGAACGTGCGCACACTACTGGACCGGAGCTCCAGCGAGCGACCGGAGCGACGCACTGCACTGGTCGCGATGGAGCTGGCGCTCTACAACATCGATATTGCGGCGCACATTGTAACCCGGCTCGCTGAGCAAGGTAAGTTGCATAAAGCAGGTGCCGGCTACACATACTACTGGGTGGGCAACGCCGCCTCAGCGCCTCGTGAACGTGGGGTCGGATTTGCAATATCCGATCGCCTCCATGGCCAGCTGGTGGGTGAACCAAGAGGCATCAGCGCGCGACTGATGACTGTTCGCCTACGACTCAGAAGAGGTAAGTTTGCTACCTTTATAAGCACGTACGGTCCGACCATGTGTTATCCTGAGGACACTTGTGATCAGTTCTACACTGAGCTATCCTCCGTGATACGGTCTGTGCCGAGGAGCGACCGATTATTTTTGCTGGGTGATTTCAACGCGCGCGTTGGGCGTGAAGTGTAGGTGTGGACACATGTTACCGGTGCGCATGGCATTGGTGCAGCGAATGCAAACGGTGACAGGCGGCTCTCACTGTGTGCAACACACGGCCTGAAGATCACGAACACTCGGTGCGCACGGGGTGCGAATGATATAGCAACCTGGACGCACCCACGGTGTGGTCACGCGCACATGCTCGACTATGTCATCGTACGTCAGCGTGATATGCGTGAAGTGCGCATGGCACTGGTACTGCGTGGAGCTGAGTGTGGCAAGAATCACAAATCGTTGCGGACCAAACTGTACATATACTTTCGTAAATCGTTGTATTGCACTCCCGCCGTGAATCGGCGTAAATTTAACATTCTCTCCCTCGGTACTGTGGCGGAACGTACTGAGCTGGAGAAGGCGATGGCTGCACGCATGTGTGGAGATGTGGAATGCATAGCCACAGCGGGCGACCTGTGGCACCACATTCGCGACCAGGTGACAGCTGCTGCCGAGGAGACCATCGAGCGCGCAAACTGCAAACGGCCCGATTGGTTTGATGACAACAATGCGACGATTGACGCATTGGTGTCAGAGAAGAATGCAGCATTTGCTGCACATGTGGCAGACCCCAGTGACCTGGGGAAGAGTAGTCAGTTTCGCAAACCTCGACGACGACTGATCCGGGATCTCCGTCGCATAAAATATGCATGGCGGACGGAGAAGGCGAAGCAGATGGAAGGCTATGCTGAACGCCGCCAACACAAGAAATTCTTTGAGTCCTTGAAGGTGCTGTATGGACCGAGATTGGAGCCGCTGGGGACACTGATCGATGGTAGTTAAGGCGCTACCTGCAGCTAGACTGCAGACATAATGCAGCTCCGGCGGAAACGCTTTGACTGTCTCTTGAAAAACCGTTCAGAGTCGACTGGCCTACATTGAACGTCCTGAAGCTGCAAGATGTGAAGGCAAATCTGGCGGAAACGCCGACACTGGATGAGACGCAGAGGGCACTTGCTCAGCTGCGAAACGGCAAATGTGCCGAAGCCGACGGGATCCCGCCTGAAGTACTGAACCACGGCGGACTCGCGTTGTTGACTGCGCTGCACCACTTGGTGCAACGTGTATGGATTGAGGAGGAGGTGCCTCCTGAGTTGAAGAATACCCTTGTGGTACCACGGTACAACTTTAAAGGTAGCAATCAGTGTTGCACGAATTATCGTGGCATCAGCCTGCTGCGTTTTGTGGGCAAGGTGATTGCCCGAATCCTGCTCAACCGCCTCGTCAGTCAGGTTGCGGAACCTAACTTGGTGGAAGAGCAGTGTGGATTCCGTTCGGGTCGCAGCACTACAGAAATGGTGTTTGCGGCTCGTCAGTTACAGGAGAAGTGCAGAGAACGACACCAGCCACTGTACTTGCTTTTTGTAGATTTCACCATGGCATTTGATACGGTGAACCGCGAGGCATTGTGGCTGGTGCTGGGTAAGTTTGGTTGCCTGCGTTAGTTTGTAAGTTTAATTGAATGTCTGCACAGTGGTATGCGAGCGAGGGTGCAGCTGAGTGGAGAGACATAGGATGACGTTGCAGTTGTCTCTGGTGTGAAGCAAGGCTGTGTTCTAAGCTCCTGCCCTGTTTAATATATATCTTCATGCAATGTTATTTTGTGCTTCTGATGCCGCTTGTGCTTACGCTGTTCGTGTGGAGCACCGTATTGATAGTGGGTTTCTGAACATCCGTCGTTTCGGCGCGAGAAATCTAGTCTATGAGACAACTATCCGTAGGTTGCTGTTTGCTGACGACTGTGCGTTGTTTGCACACAGCGCGGATGAGTTGCTGCACATGACTAGTGCTCTAACTTTGACAGCAGCCAAATTCCGGCTCACCATCAACACAAGCAAAATTGTCTGTCTCTTTCAGACTTCACCGGAGGTGCAATTTTAAATATTGCCGCGAATCAGCATTGGTGCTGAAGTATTGGAAACCATCTTCCGTTTCAGCTATCTTTGGTGTGTGATGTCTACTGAGCAGCAGCTACACAGTGAGCTGCGTATTCGTGCTTCGAAGGCAGCAGCTGCATTCGGGAAGCTTGAGTACCGAGTGCGGAACAACCATCAGCTTACCATTGGCACAAAGCTGATGGTGTACAAATCCATGGTGCTGTCCGTTCTTCTATACGGCAGTGAAACGTGGACGATATACCGTCGGGATGTACGATATCTCGATCGGTTCCATCAGCAGTGTCTGCGACGAATTTTGCGGATCGGCTGGGGCGCCAGAGTTGCAGACACTGAAGTGTTGCGCCGAAGTGGGATGTATGCAGTGGACTGCATAGTTTAACTGAGACACCTGAGATGGCTCGGTCATGTGTGGCGTATGGATTCGACTCGGATACCGAAACAACTGTTATACGGTCAGCTGAGTTTGGGATGCGGCACGTGGGGAAACCAAAGTTACGTTACCAGGACATGAATAAAGTGAGCCTCAAACGTTCTAATCTTGATTGCAGGCCGCGGGAATCGAAAGCGGTTAATCGGCGCGTACGGCGCGATCTGATCACGAAGGCAGTTGCTGAAGTGCGGAAGAAAACCCTCATGCATGCGGAGATGAAGCGGCAAGTGCGGAAGTGGCAAGCACCGATGGATTGTACTCCATCGACATCAAGTGCATGGTGCTGTAGCACATGTGATCGCGAGTGCCTGAGTCAGACAGGCCTAGTGAGCCATGAGCGAGGCCACTCGGCACTACTACCGAAGGGCCGACTGGTTCTGCAGAGAACGTAGGCAGAACCAGCGCAGCGTTTGACAATACGCTGCATTCGCTTTACTAACCGCGTGCTTACATGCTAAGTCTCTCTATTTCAGGTGGTGGGTTTTCCATTTTGCCCGTATGCTGTCCTTTTCCATATAAATGCCTAGTTATACTCTCTTTTATACACTTGCACATGTCGCTTAAGCCGCTTGTAGTTATTTCGATAACATTTTCGTGTTTGTAGCGTTTCCGTAAAATAAACCTCCTGACCTCGTGAACTTACCTAGTATTCTTTTGTAAACGTATTCTTTAGTAAACCACTTATTTCATATGCTCACTAATTTAAGATTTATGTCACAGTTTGTTTGCCTGCTACGTCTGTTTATTTCAGGTGGTGGGTTTTTAATTTTGTCACAATGCTTTGCTTTCTCATATAAATGTCTACCTGTACTCTCTTCTATAAGCTTGCACACGTCACTTAAGCCACTTCTAGTCCTTATCGAAAACATTTTTGTGTTCGTGGCATTTCCGTAAAGTATACTTTCCGTCCTCGTGAACTTATCTTGCATTCTTCTGTAAAAAGTTTACTTCATATGCTCAGTAATTCAAGATATATGTCACCCTTTCCTTGTGCATTACTCGATATATTTTCTTTGCTAGCTTGCTCTCAAGTGATTGGCTGTTGCTTGATATCCCTGGTGAGGCTGCGCTTCATGTGCATGTTGACAAGGTGGCTACCTGTCTATTACCCACTACCTCGTAAATACTGGCTCCAGGAGTCGGTTGGTCGTTGCTGGAGGGGACGGGGTGCACGGTTCTTGTGGCCGTGCCAGGCTCAAAGAGCGGTTCCATGCACTCAGTGTGGAGCGGACTACGGTCCAGCCACCGCCTTGTGTGCGGTTGATTCCCCAAATACAGCGTGCTTGTGTTTGCCTGTGAAGGAGTGTGGGCCGGTTCCGTTGAAGAAACGTGGCTCCCATCCGCATGCCTCCCGGTCTTATTCCTTTGAGTTTACACTGGATAGTGTGTGTGCTTGGAGCTGTGGGTGGTGCAGCGCAAGCCACTCGTGGTTCCTCTGTAGGCGTAGCCGTCCTGTGGCTTGCCACAGTGAGGCGAATCCGAAACTGGGTGCCGCCAACCATATATAAACATACATATAAACATACATAAACAACTTTAAAACTTGCAATTATTCATCTTCACTGATACACCAACAAACCCTATTCCATGCATCCTCATTTAACATTACCCACTTAGAGGCACAAGAATACAGCAATAGAAGAGGTTAGTCAGCCATTATTCCTTATCACGTTTCAGCATGTTATTCGGTATGTTATTACGCATGCACATAGTGATGTCTTTGTCGTAACAGTTAGCTCTTTCTTATTTCTGCAGATCCACAGCATGACACTTGATTCCAGGTTGTCTTCAAGGCATAATCCGAAAGTTTCACACTCAGTATTTACGCATCTCCGTTCATTAGCATTACCCAAAATAAATTGCCTTAAAAAGTTGCAATTCATGTCGTCCATGTACATCATCACTGCAATTAACCTTCGGTGTGGATTTCTCAACCTTCCACCTGTTGCGTTGTAAAATGTCATTTGCTTTTATAATACACAGACATTTTCTGTATCAATAAACGCAACATTTCAAAGCGTTTCCCAAGCAAAAATAATTCTAACTTTCTTAAACGTATTTTCAGTGCATTCGCATCCCTTGCTTTTCCGCCTCCATTACGACCTTCCATATTTCAACCACTTTACCTCAATAAAAGGTTTGCACGTCACACCCCATGTATTACTAGTAAACGATTTACTTTAATTTATGCTACTTATCATTAGTACCATGAACTCAATTTATTCAAGTCAAAAAACGGATGTACCAGTTGCCACCAGAAGAATTTACATTTAACCGCGTTCTTGTCATCAAACGGTCTTCAAGTTCGGCGGCCAGAAACTAAATTTCGCGCGTCATACAGCTTCAACCTTTCCCAACCACCATAATGACAGTTACGAATATGGCGCCAAGTGATTTCCAATACTCTTGTAGTCTATCGCAACAACTATGAGAACCCCGTTAACCTTCTTCAATACAAAACATACACCGAGTTAACATGTGTATACTATATATACATATACAAACCGCCATCTAATGGCAACCTCTCCAGTTATCCTGACATACCTACGGAACCAAACCCGCCGCTAGGCAAATATCAGAAGTGAGAGTCGCGGTACGGGCGACGGGGGTAGGACCTGTACACGGGCTTAGGGCCAGCTTCTTTTTATCGTACGTTTTACATCCTAATGCCAAATTGTGTTGTGATGATAGAGATGAGTATGGATAAATTGCTAAGCTGAGAGTTAAGGTTATAATGGAGCAAATGCACCATTGGTTGCCTACGTTTGTAGGTCATGATGTTTAAACTAAAAAACGTACAGATGTAACAACTTGATCGTAAAAACAACTAGCACACCATGCGGCATTGATGCCCAACAGAAACAGTAAAAAGGTAATGCATCTGGTTGTCATACACTAGTAAAAAAGAAACAGTATATATACATAAAAAACCAATTCTTGTCACTCGCGTACCCGCCATTCCGCGGAGCAGTGTACAGTCAGACTGAGTTGCAACCAAACAGTAGCTACGCAGAGACAAAATCTCAACCCCCTATTATCGGTTAAAGGATTGTACCAGCATACAGCCAGCAAAAGTGTTAGGCCATGTATATATAGGTTGGGCCAAAATGCCCATGGTAGTCAAGGAAAGCATAAAACTTGGTTGTATAAGGTTGGCAAATTGCATTCACTCTAAAAAATTTCCTATGGTTTATTTGTATTTGTACATCTCAATCCTCGAGTTTTACTTTTGGAATAAGAACAGTTTGATTAAACTTTGTTGTACAGATGGATATGCGGAGCCGTTTCTGGAAAACCTATCGCGTGCCGATCAAATATATTACTGAAGATGACAAACCTACACCCACCTGCCATCGTCATCATAAACAGCAGTACCTCAGCCACTTAACCATTGCTTTTCTGCCATACAGCCGTAATGACCTACGGCACGAAGAATAAAACTGGGTACTTTCCGGATGACTTGAATTCTCCTAGCAGACCTTTAGGGTCAAGACTCCTACACATTGTTTACAGCATACTGACACAAATTGCTAGGTAACTTTCAAGCATGACGCGGCATAAGCGAGACAGCTTCCTTAAGGCTTTCACTACTCCGAGTCATAATCAGCCACTATCCCGCAGTTAACTCTGCACTAAGCACATTAAACAGACTGTCCTTCTATTAGACGGCAGCAGGCCCACCACTTGTGAAGACTGCAAGCAATATCTTGTAAAGTCCCCAGTCAAGCAGCAAGCGAGTGACTTGGAGTGCAGCTTGGTAGGGAGATGGGCGGACAGCAAATCTTTTGGTCCTCAGTTACTTCTTTCCCGCTGCCATTTGGCCACCACCACCACCCTAGTTCGGACAAACGAAACAAGGCTTTCTGCGGTGAGCGTTGATCAGGCATGCGTAGCGCAAGCACAAGCCAAAGTAAATTGTTCGATGCTATCATTTCTTTTAAAGAACTTTTTTATTTATCACAGCCTGATACTCGCCTATGTACAGCTACTTTGTGGACACCCTAGTGCCACACAACACGAACACCGCTTCACAGATAACACTGAGCAATGACCTGAATATGCTTTAACTCTTCTGATCAAAGGAGCTAAGTAGCACTTCAATAGCGTAGGACGAACGCAACATTTGTCTTGTAAATACGGCCTTTAAGCAGGAGGGGAACTCTTTTCTCTCGCCAAAGGCGCAGCAGGTTAAAAAACCATTCTGCTTATGAGATAATTGTGCTGACTTTAGTTGCTATACACCCATTGTTGCTGATACAGCTGCTAATGTAAGTGCATTAACTAACTAACTACAGTTGCTCGCTATTTAGTTTCAAAAGTCCAGCAAGTGGCTGGTTGTCCTGCCACAACACTTTGTAGTTTGAAGATACGAAACTTGTAGGAGATAACTGGATCACGTTAGAGGGAACATTTAGTGTTGACTGATATGCCATAACGTAGTTAAACTGCAAGGCAATATCGTCCGCATAATCAAAAGTAGCTAACTTTTCATCAGATAGCAACCCATGGCATGCATACTATGATGCCGCGAAGGAACACACCATGATGGCGTCTACGACGAAATTGAACGAAAATCGGGAAGTAGACAACCCTGATGAACGCCACCTGTGGTTGCAAACCTATCAGGCACCCCACCCCAAACCCTCTGGTGCTTGAGTACTTTGCAAGTAAAATGTTTACATATTCCAGCTAAACACATTATTGCACAAGTATTTTGGACCGAATGCGTTGCACAACTGAATCAAACACATTCTCGAAATCCAGAACCACAGCTATTGTCCGTCAGCTGTATGCATGGCGCTGCTATAGCAGTTGTTGTACAGTGAAAAGATGGTCTATACGGCATGTCATGGAAAGAAACCTGTTTGCCCATCCATACTCCAGGTTTCTGGTTCTGCAGTAAGGCGACGAAGGCGAATTGAGTCTTGCGAAGTTATCGAAACTAGGGGCGGGTAAATACACCCGCGATTAGTACAGACCTAGCGACTGCTCTTCCTGTATATCCTCACCAAAATCAATTCACTTTAGCTGAGTGGGATGGTCTCTTCCTACCAGACATGTTCGAACAAGGCGGTCAGTGCTTTGGCACACTACGTCATCTGCACCCTTTATTAGTGAAGGTGGGAGGATAACCGGGCCATTAGCACAAGAGTGATTGAGTGCTACGATCATGTTTCGGACCTCAGCCTCTGATGGAGCCTGTTAACTAACTGTCCATAGCTCATTCTGTGCTTCATAAATAAGAAGAGGTCCGGAAGCAGCGGAGCAGCTGTACGGCTCTAGCAAATGCTCCGCCCAATGTGTCATTTGGCTTCCGTAATTTTGGATCAGCCAGTTATACTTACGGCTGGCTTTCGGGGACTAGTGCCGCGAATGTGCTGGATGAGCTTACAATACTAGCCTGCTTCCAATTTTCCTCTATTTCTTGAGCCTCATAGGTCCACCAGGCTTCATTGTCATCGCGCAAGCTCCGCTTTTGTTCGCGCCTAATAATCCGTCTGGACTCATTTGGCTCAGAGCTAGTCGTGAGTTTCCATCTGCATTACAACAGGTTAACCGACCTCTAGGATATCCAGTGGCTGGTGCGGCGCATTTTGATTGCACCACGAGAATAACCCACAGCTTTGCGCATCCCGGCCGAATACCTATCTTACCGAAGCTCACTGTCATCGGGACAAGAGAAAAACGTTCGGTACACAGTGCATCCTGGTAGGTTTGCCTGAACGAGAGCTGGGATAATTGCTCAACTGTCAATCGAAGGAAACTCCTGGTGCACATCCCGGCAAAGTTAATCAAAAAGCTCCAGCATACCAAGGCAGGATCAGGGTAGACTCATGTACTCCAAAACGAGCGTCAGTACAAGGTGCGACCATAGTACCTGTAACTTACGGTAATGTGATATCTTTGGCTCCATCGTTTTGCAGCCGCAGGCCGGTTCCAAGTGGAGCTGTGGCTCATACTGTGTATAAATGCGGTGCTATTAAGAACAAGCTTGTGGCACGCACACAGTTGCAACAAACATTTGCCGTCGGCAGTACGGTTGGAGTTAAGCCCATGGATACAACGTTGCAGGGCTTCCAACGAGCTCAGGTACCATAGTTCTGCATTCTAAATCTCAGCAAGTACTATGACCTCTGAATGCCCATCACTACGTAATCGCGCGTTCAGTTCGCGGTACAATGTGTCTGCAGTCGGTGGAAGCGTAACCGTAAAGCATTAGCCAACAACGCCTCGTAATTTTTGTGTGTATCAACCTTAGCTGACTTTGTCAAACGGGCTTTACACAAACGGCTGCTCGCGGGAATCCAATAAACCAACAGTGACTCAGCCATGAAAGTGAGAACGACCCGACGGTATAGACAATGACATTTCTAAGTGCCCCCTCCACAGTGTTCTTCCCTGTATCCAAAAACCTCCAACTCCGCAAACTTCGCAAACTCACACGCTGGTTTCATTATTACACTTGAAGGTATATACATATTTGACCCTATTTACAAACGTAAGGGTTGCAGGATATATGTGTTCAAAATAGGCTGGTAGATACTGTATAATATCAAGCATCCAGCAACCTATTTCGACAATGTGTATCAAAAACCATAAATGACCTTAATCCAATCGTCACGTTGAGGGAAGTGTTGCTCGAACCACAGGAGAGGAAATTTGTTTAGTTATTTAAATGATCTCAGTTGGAATGTCTCACTGGGTTCATGCCAGTTACCATTTTTGAACTCACATCATGTTATTTGTATGCGACTCTGACTGTTAACAAAGAACAGCTATATACATTGCTGCAGAATAGCGGAGAATATTTATGTTAATTTTACGTCCTATTTGCTTTACAAATGCTTTTATTTCACTTAGTCTAGTACCTGAACTTTTGCATATTTATGATCCAGGTTGTTCACCTTCGTATCTTTCTCGTTCCAGAAATAGACCACCTTTCTCTGGTAAATAACATGGCACGCGAATCTACAGCCACGCTTGTAGGTTTATAAAAAAATGTTTGGAACAAAAGCTAAAATGCGGACCGAATATTGCCCCATCAGCCGGTTGGAGGCTGAGTAGTTGTAGGTTAAAGAGAACAGAGTGCATTGGGATACCCAGTGCTCTGTAATCACTGCAGGTGCAGCTGCTTGTGCATTAGCATAAGGATTGATGAGAAGTAGTTTATTGAATAGGATTCCTTTGTTGTCGTCGATAGACTTGTCTGGTCTGAAGTGGAGTGCATTGAAGCATGTCGCAAAACTGAATGCGCAAGTGTAAGAAGGCTAAGATGGGAGCCATCCAGCGCCAATGAAAGGGTAGACATGCTTGTTGGTAGAGCGTCCGTTGTGCATTTGCACATCTACGGTATTCTCAGAGTCGGACGAAGTTAACACGTGAATTGTGCTATGGAAGACGCGAAGTTAAACGGGGGCATACACGGTGATATAGTACGTGAAACGAACCTCTTGGCAACCTTGATGATTTACCGTACACCGACACCGCTGATGCGTACTGCAAGTCGGCAACGACACTGCTGTGAATACATGGATGACAAACGAAGCGTTTCCGCACCAGCTAGGGTCCGCGTTGTCGTAGTGCAAGGCTTTGTGCAATCTAAGTAATCGTTCGGCTAACACTTTGGCCGTTGGATGATACGCCGTCTGGTGAATGCAACGGTAGTCGAAAAGATAGCCGTACGCAATAAATTGTGAAGGTTCTATAGGCAGTTCTTGGTCATTTGTGATGATGGATTAGCCTCAGCAATGCAAACACAAGGATCAAAGAAGTCCGGAGAACATACTCTGCGGTGCAGTGATTACGGGCATGGCTTCTGGCCATCTAGTGTAGAGGTTGACCTGTGCGAGCAAGTGTAGGAATCCACGTGAGGTGGGCAAAAGACATACCAGGTCTATGCGGACATGCCAGAGCCGAGAGGACCACTTGTGTGTCGATATAGTTAAGTGCGCGAACATTGAATTTAGGCTGCCGTCCAAGTACGAGCATGTTTACATGGCTAGCTAGCCAAAATTCTCCTCGTGGCGCCAGGTGGGTGATTCGGGTTTAATCCGTTCTAGCAAATAGTTCGGTGACGGTGTTCCAGTAAACGCCGTGTTTTCGCTTGGCAAGAGTACTTCCTGTAAAAAGCCACAAATTTTTGCTTAACGACATTGTGAGTTGTTGGTAGTGACTCGCCACAAACTAGCGTCACTGGTCTGTGGATATCCAGATAATGCTTTCCAACTCACGGACATCAATCTTCTACACGCACATTGCCGACGATATCAAAAGGTCGAGAATGGAGCAACATGATTGCAAGCACAAACTATACAGGCACATACACACAATTAAATGCGTATATACACCCCAACACAAACATACACTGTTATTGCAAATATTTCAAGTTTTTGCACATATTCGACTGCGATATATTATGTTAACCTGATCATGCCTGTAAAAGAGCGCCTTGCGTTGTAGAGAATGAAAGCTGTGAATCGCGCTTACCGGACGGCTGTTCGTGCGTCTTTCCTCAATTGTGGATAGCAGACTTTTCATGCTCATTTTTGTCAAGTTCAGTTTCTTTTGCGATTCTGAATCTGTTTATTGTGTGTATGTTACTCTGCTATATGTATCGTCGACTTATTCACTTTCTCACCTTTACCGTCACATCTGCCAAGCTGTCTGTAAGGATGAAGCTGTGGTACTTGTTGCACAATAGCTGGGCATAGAGCCGATACTGTTACGTGCCACATATGTGGTGTGAATTTCCACATTTCGTGTATTGGTTTATCTTTAGGCCATTGGCGGTCATTGACGGAAACGTTCAACAAAGCGCTGTCGGAATGTGCTTTGTCGAGCGAATGGAAATGTTCGGTAGTAAAGCCGATTCAAAAAGTTGTTGACCCAAGCAATGTGGAAACATACAAGCCGATGTGTCTCAGCTCCGTTTTGGCGAAGGTACTCAAAAGGCTTGTAAAAGGTGTCTACTCTAGCTAGGGGAGTCGAAAAATCTAACGCCGACAAAGTACGGCTTCATGAAGAGCCGCTTGGGCATAACCAACCTGTTGTTGAAGCGGCAGAAATGGAAGCAAGTGTTGAATTGAGATACGTCATTGGAGGTTATCCAATTTGCTTTCAGTAAAAGATTTCAAGAAAGTGAACCACGAGGTCCTGCTTCACAAGCTGAGGGTGGGTGATGTTGACTGCGCACTGCCCCAGTGGATCAGTGACTTTCTTATCAGGAGGAAATGACGAGTTCATGTGGATGCCCACCTAACAGAATAGTACGCGTCCACTAGCGGCATACCACAAAGCACAGTAAAGGGGCCTAAGTTATTCCTGATCCACATCAACGAAGCACTCCAGCTTCTTCGGTCGTCATCCGCTTTATTTACGCATGAACTGAAGATTTGAAGGAATATTGATGTTCCCAGTGACTGCGACGTACTTCAGTAGGACAACGGTCGCCTATCCCGGTGGTCTTCCGAAGTTGATCTACTGGTCAATACGGCCAGGTCTTTGTTATCATCCTGGCGAAGCGTAATAAGGGTCGCGTGGACACTCTGGCAAGCCACCCGATGCATTCCACCAGTTCCGTAAAGTAGCTAAGCGTACTGCCACGATGTGATCTGAAATCCGTCGACAAAGCAGACACTGCACAAATAAACTACGCCTGCCTTGGGCACTTAGAGGCAGCTTCTGCACCTAATCTGAAGAGATTTTTACTCGTCTGTCCCCTTACATATTAAAACCGGTGCTTAAGTATTGCTCATTCGCCTACTGCTCGATCACGATAAGTGTGGTGCGCAGGCTACAACGGGTTCAGCATGTAGCTACCCAGCTCACCCCCAATTTATGGGGTATATCGTACGAAGCCCGCTGTAGTAAATTAGGACTTTACACCCTTTCATGCCCACGGATTTGAGTTGAGCTCATTATGTGGCACCGGATACTGCACCTGGGCAACTTCCCTATGGTGTAGCCTCTATTTCACATTTGCTCACCAAGGAGCACACGCGGACACCGGTACAAACGAGTGGTACCGTATTTAAATCCCATCGCTCAATCTTTAAGCTTTGAGCGTCTACTGGTGAAATATTGGAACACATTGCCGGAGATGCTACTCGAGGCGAAATCGGTGCCAGAGTTTAAGAGATTCCTTGACGCCCAGTTTGCAGACTAGAGGTAAAGGGCGCATCACGCTTGGTTAACTGGTAGCAGCGCTGCAATTTACTGCCAACGCGCAGCAAGCAGCGTGGTTATTCTGCGCATGTGCCCGATCCAATTATGATGAAGCAACACAAATTTTTTCTTTTCGTTTCCCAGTCACAGCATACAGTGTCCGGAATTTCTTTATTTCTTTGTTTTTACGCGTAGCCATATGAAACGTTCGGTGACCAGTCTTAACTACTCAAGGGTACCGAAATATGCTGAGGAGTAAATTGCGTCTGAAAGAGACTGAACAAAAGGTCAAGGAGAACATGTGAAAGTATCAGAGAGGATAGATTTGTCGGTGATCTGGGTAGAAGTGGTTTGCACACGTATAACATTGGAGAGCAGCTTACGTTCGAGATCTTCATTTTGTGCATCAACCTATACCATTGTGCCATGGTTGACGGTAGGCAAAGAATGAAGGGCGAGGTTAACATGAGAAAGTATGTCGGCTTATTTTGGTTTGCACCGCAGACATGACGTATGTCAGTAATGAACTACTTGACAAATTCTAGATGTATGGTTTCTCGTAGCGTGCATAGGTCGGGGTTGAGTTGGAGTCAAAGGTGACCAGAGTGTCGTTATTGTAGACCGTAAAGTTGCAAGCTTCAAATGCGTGCATGAAGCGGAGAATGTCTAAGTAGATGGCAGGCAATTCTCTGCAAGTGTTGTGCGACGGGATTCATCTGACTGCAAATGTTTAGAGAAGAAGCCGAGAGGTTGCCAATGCCCACCAACGCGTTGTTAGAGGATGGCACCTACCGCTACGTCTGACGCATCAATTGCGGTAGAGAGGTGTAGCTGGTTCGGAATAAAAGAGGAGAACTGTTGGAAATAGAATCCTTTTACTCGCTAAAGGCTGTGTTTACCATGTCGGGGAAAGCAAACCTATGTTTAATTTTGCTGAAACGTATAGTCAGCGTTTTCTTTACTATGAGGGAACGAGGATTGTAGTAAACCTAACCACAAAACGGACAAGGGTATTTAAATGAAATCCGAGCACGGGAGTCCCAACCAGCCTGGATCTTGCTTGCAAGCAATTCGGCACCATATGTTGGGACGAGGGGGCCAAGGAATTCAACGGCTGACCTCCTAAACGCGCACATGCGCTGATTCACGGTGTGGCGGTACTGGTTAAACCGCTGGGAAAGCAATTATTGTTGAGCTAATTGCTTATTCAGATGAATTGACCAAAGTTTATTATCGAGGTAGGGGTAAGCCAAGTCCGGGCCACAAGTGGATGAAAAGCTAAAAATTGTGC